AAAACCCCCGGGCCTCCGGGCGCTTCTGCGCTGGGCTCGCCCCAGACGCCGCTGTCAGTAGTTCCTCCTCGCAACCCCTCCCCCGAGAGGCCCGTTAAAGTGCCCTGCACTTCTTTTTTTCTTTCTTTTTTTTTAAACAGTATTTTTGTTTTAGGACAACGTTTAATTAGTAAAATAAAAACTTTGTATAAAGACATTACAGACCCAAAGCTCTTTTTTTTTTTTTTTTACATTTATTGATTCAGGTCCAGTTATGCATCAGACACTGAAGGGGCACAGCACGTGCAAAGCCAAATGGACACTCAGATTCCACCGCTGCCAGATGACTCCCTTCACGCAAAAGGGGGGTCTGGCCGGGTCGCTCAGCTGTTCAGAGTGTCGTCCACATACACTAAGGCTGTGGGTTTCATTCTGGGTCAGGGCACAGACAAGAATCAACAAATGGCCCTGGCTGGTGTTGCTCAATGGTTAGAGTGTCAGCCCACACAGGCAAGGGTCTCGGGTTCGATTCCCTGCCAAGGGCAGGTATCTGGGCTGCAGGTTCAATCCCGGGCGCGGTCAGGGCGCGTGGAGAGGCAACTAGTCTACGTGTGCCTCTCACACCAACGTTTCTCTCTCTCCCCCTCCCTCCCTTTTATTCTCTCTAAAAGTCAATGGAAAAAATATCCTTGGGTGAGGATTAACCAAAAAATAAGGGTCGGGGAAACAATGCTTGAAATCTGCCCAGAAACTAAACTGGCAGAGATGTTAACAAACTGGAAAGTCACCCATCAGCAAAAAGACACTTCTCATTGTTCTACAAGTGCGTAAAACCTGGACACGAGCCCGGCCGGCGTGGTTCAGTGGCTGAGCGTCGACCTATTAACCAGGAGGTCACGGTTTGATTCCTGGTCAGGGCACATGCCTGGGTTGCAGGCTCAGTCCCCAGTGGGGGGGCATGTAGGAGGCAGCCAATCAATGATTTGCTCTCATTACTGATGTTTCTCTTTCTCTTTTCCTCTCTGAAATCTATAAAAAAAAAATACTTAAAAAAACAC